TTTCCTTGAGGTGCAAGGAAATGCAAAGTCAGAAATCAACAATGCAATTAGATTTGTCACTTATCATGCCAGTTTTGTTTCGGGAATCTACCTAAAAGTTCTATATGATAGCTTTAATCCAATAGGATACAGAAACAGAAAAGGGGGGCAGGGTCTGCAGGAATCCACGACCACCTTTGTGGTGTAAGTGGCTCTGAGAAAACCCATCTAATCAAGAATATTTGTTGAAATTATTGGGCAACCAAGACTAAAATGTTCAAAATAAGCTAAAGGTTGACCACGTTCCTGAAGCTCATGTTAAATGTCCGAGTGTCCAAGTTTCAGTGTTTGAAATGATTACAGAAGACAAGCCAATTGACTTGCCGTTCAAGACAAAGTGGGGATGCTTTTTATGCTTTGACATTTCTTAAAGACAATTTGTACTAGCTTGTTGCTGGCCTAATAATTTCAGTAGTTAAAGAATTCATCTTTAACAAGTTGGAATTGCTGGTTTCATATACTTTTGTTATGAAAGGAACTAGGATACCCGGGTTCGCAAAGCCTTCCAGTTTGCCAGTAACCACATTCATTTCTATTCTAACAGTCCCATCTGGGATTTGTTTTGGTTCATTAATGACTCTAATCTACAGTTAATTTTTAGAACTAAAACTATGAGAATAGCATTTACCATGTTGTTAAAAATGTTTATTGCTTATTAACCACACCAACACATTGAAAACAGTAAACTGATCCACAAGAGCATATAACAGCCTTGCAATTGTACTGTTTCATGATGCTTAAATGTAAATTTAAATATATATATATATATATATGGTTCCTATTTCCCATTATCTTGTAGTTTTGGAAGACAGCAGATGAATAAAGATAGCCTTTACGTCAAGCAATTATTAGTATTAAAATGCTGTGGCATCTCTGTTCTTCATGAACACCTCATAGACTTTCTCAATGTTGGCTTGAATAAAAATGCTGTCTCTTGTTGGTGTTTATTACAGTAAAGGTAAAGTGATGATAAGGTCCAGTGATGTCTCCCTGATAAGTTGAACTGCTGTTCTCAACTTGAGCCACAAATTAGAATCCCTGAGAGAATTTTTGTTTAATAAAATAAAGGTGGGGGAAGCATGCCAGACCCTACCCAACCTAATTAAACTAGAATATCTGGGGAAGAGGTCTGTCTATTGATTTATATCTTTAGGGGATTATAACATGTAACCATGACTGATAAGAATCAGCCGATACAGTTTTCCATAAGATTTGATAGAATCTATTAATGTTGGAGGGTCTTAGAGACCATATATGCCACTTACTGAATTGCTGGTCTGATCTTGGATTTCATAGATTAATGAATGTTGAAATTTCTTGGTGAAAATAAAAATCATTTGTTATAGTGTCTGTCTATTCTTTCTTTCCATGTATGTGATGCATATAACTTGGTTTTCTAATCAGAAGAAAGATTTTATTCCTTGATATTAGATGTTTAAATACTAACAGATTCCAGGAAAATATGTTTTCCCAAAAAACAAGCTATCTGCCCATCCAGAAAATGCTTTAGTGAACTGCAACGTGAACTCTATCTCCAGAAAATATTAAAAAATAATGCTTTACAATTTGATTTCCTTTTGCTAAGATTTATATGATGCATGGTGTGCAAATATACACCTTTTGAAAGGTAAGAAGGAAAAAATTAAAAGCCATCATTTCTGGCATACCAGGTAACATTCTGGGTGCCAATTGTGTTCTAGTATTTTCATACAAATTAATTTTGTAAAATTCATAATAAAATTCTGAGGTTAAAGAAAACCTCTGCCCTGATTTTATATATGAGAAAATTGAAGTTCTATTATGCCCATAAACTTTCTTAATGCCAGAAGTTAAGTAAGCTAAAGATGTGCTCAAATCCATACCTTCTTATTCTGAGTTCAACTGTATCACTAAAGCACACCTTAAATGAATATTTATATTGTTAAAAAATTTAAAGACAGCATCTATTTGCAAGTGACAAAAGGTAAGAGAAAGATTCCAGCACAGCTGTGCTCGGGCAGGACTCCTGGCTCCTCAGTGTTCAGCTGCACGGATCGGGCAAGTAATTCAACCTTTTTAGTTATAAAGGCTAAATCTATTTAAAGGATTTTTTAATGTGGATTAAATGAATTAATATTTGTAAAGCATTTAGGTAGTTGCTTTGTGCATAGTAGGTTCTATGTAAGTGTTATATTTTAAATGTAATTTATTCATAAACATTTTGATTATTTACTAAATGCCAAGTATTGATTCAAGTCTGACAGTACATTTAAAAAAATCATATCTTTGTCCTAAAGGAATTTTTTTCATCTATAGCAAATAAGCGTACATAAATAGAATGATTATGCCACTCAGAAATTGGCATTTCTTCTATAATAAGGATAATTAAAAGCATGGTTTGCTACGGCAATTACGTGATTTTCAATTGTTGATTTGATCTTCCAGTGCTTTCGCTGATGAAAAACCAAATGGTAATATTTTGTATTGGTAAAAATGATCCTGGGTTGTTTTAGATTTCACCAATACACAAAAATCGCACACTTCTGGCTTCCGTGTATGAGGCTGGAAAACTGATCTATGATGAGTGTATGGATCTTGAAACTTTGCATTTTTCAAGTATATTGTGGTGTTGGAGCATTCAGGAAGAATCAGTAGAAAATGCCATTGCTTCATATTCCTTAAGTGCAATTTTCTTAAGTCAGTCTCCTCGAAGCAATGTGTATGTGTGGATTTAGAATATAGTTCTGTTTTTATTCCTGAAGGGAAAAATATTTTTTAGGAAAGGAAATATTTATCAAAGGGCACAGTAAATGTCCCTGGTACCAAGCTGGTTTGGAAGCCCACTCTCCTCCAAATTTGCTTGCTAGTCTGTGCTTGCAGCTCCACTCCACTGCTTGACACCTGTAGGCACCCGAGGGCACTTGCGGCATAAGACGTGGCCATAATTAAAGAAATAATGGACACTCGTGTCCTGTGTATAAGAACAGTTTAGCATCTGTAAACATGAGTTAATTCTCAAAAAAAAAATAAATAAAGTACCTGATTCAGTGCAATGCAATCAATATTTCTGTAATCAATATTTAACTGTATTGTGGCACTAGAATTTCTTTTTGGCAATGCATGCCTCTTTCGTGTCTTATCAAGTCTCAAGGGTACTTTGAATTTCTGATGGATGCTATGCTTTTTCCCCAGCTCCACAGCCACCCCTTTTATGGCCATTATCAAAATATCTTAATATCCTCCCAATATTCAGCCACGTTTCAGTCCCCGTGTGTTGAATTCACAACACAAGATTGCAAGCTTTTGTCTTGTCAGCCTCTGTTCATAATTATTCAGTGGTTGCCGAGGATGTAGCCCCCCTTCAGAATATTACTTAAGATACTTCATGACATAACCCCATCTGACATTTTTTCCGTCAATGAGAGGGAGAAAAATCTCAGCAGCTCCTTAATTCCAGTTCTGGAGCTGCAGTTTGACTAGAAAAATTGACTCCAGGTTTAGAGTCTATGCTTCACCTTCAACCTTTTGCCCTTATCTGACAACCTTGGTTTATATTCTATTTCTTCAAAGCTGGTGTGGTGGTGGTAGTGGTGTGTGTGTGTGTGTGTGTGTGTGTGTGTGTGTGTGTGTGTCCATTTATATATTGGTTCAGTTGAAGACTCTTTTGCCTTGGTTTGTTTCTCCTGACAGTTCTTGTCTTAGAGCTATGCGTGATTTGTCTGGGGCTTCGAAATCCAGCATTTCAGATCTAACCTGCTCATCCTTCAGAGAAGGTTAATTCTCTACCCCACCCAAATAACACAACAAATTTTTGCCTTGATAGGATCACTCATATTTCAATACTCAATAAATAGTTACTAAATTCTTATTATGTTTTAGTCAGAGGCTACTATGATAAATTACAGTCCCTGATTTGAGGGAACTAGACAGACAAACTAACAAATGCATTGCCATAGATGACCTTGGTGCTCTGCAGTGGGAAGCAGGGATACTTCTTAGGGTAGTGGTCCTCTTAAAGAGGACACGAGTTGGTGCTGAAATGATCACACATAAAAAGCCGAAAAAGGAAGGGACAACATTAGTTGTGCTGCACAAAAGAGATTATATATATACACACATATATAATACACATGTATATATATACATATATATGTATATATAAAATATATATATATATTAAAAATAAAAAGCTTGAAACAGCATGTTATTTAAGAAACTGCAGATATGTGGTTTGCAGGCCACCGATAACATACCAACCAGCTAATGTGCCTGCTGAACTAAAGGGATTGCATTTTATTCTAAAGACAAGGGGTTAAAAAAAATAATGTAAGGGACAACAATGATCAAACTTCCCATTTGAATGATCACTCTGATGAAAAAATAGAAAAATTAGATTGAAAGTGGGATGGATACAAATTAATGGAAAGTCTGGAGCCTTATTGCCGTAACAGAAAGAGAAATAATCAGGGCCACTTGAGATACAATAGTACAAAACAGTATGGAAATTATTTTAAAGATAGTATTTTAAGTATTTAGTCAACGATAAATTTGGAGGTGAGATGAATGAAAGTACTGCTTAATTGTATGAGGAATTTTAGCTTTCCTTCACAGATAACAACAGACCTATGGCGTCAACCACCTAGCATAGACGAGAAGTATTTGGAAACAAAAAGATATAGAATTGAATTTGCAGGGGGAGGAAGAAACATGATATATTTTGTTTTATGTACATGGTGGTGTTCCATAGAAGTAAATATGGACATTCATGCCTCAAAAGACTATGATACTAAATTTAAAAAATAGAATAACTTCAGTACAGTTTTAGCAGCTAACAGTAGAAAGGAGGTAAAAGAAAGAGGAAAGAAAAAAATCAAAGATAGGAAATTAAAATGAAAAGCTAAACATTTAAAGCATAGCCTTTGGGGACACCAAATTTTCAGGGACAAATGGAAATCAAGCCTTCCAAAGACATGGGAGGCTAGATGCGCAGGAAATCACAGAGCCAGTGGCTCCACAGCAGACAGAAAGAAAACCACCAGGTCTGCAGTGACCAGGAGACAGAGGAGGAAGAACGCCATCACAGGCTGCAGCCTGGGGTGCCTGCTTCAAGGGATGGAAAAGGAGGCATGAGCTGTACAGTCATCTCAGTTAGTTTGAAAAGCACTTATCTCTCATTTTTAAAAACTGTACAACCTCAAGTTTCGCTTAAGTGCTGCTTCGTTCTTCGAGTCTTCTCTGACAGCCACTGACCCCTCAAACAAAATGTAGTATTACGGCCATCTGTCAGTCTTTCAGAGACTCCACAGACTGTGTGTTGGGGATGACCTGTGTGTGTGTGTGTGTGTCTGTGTGTGTGTGTCCACACATACAATATGTGTATAGCATGTTTCCTTTTATTCAATATATTCTCTTTTGACATTAATTCTCTGAAACAAACTTTCTAAATCTCTTTATTCCAGTAGCACACTGGGGGAAAGACCAATAAGGGCTTTATAAATTCTAGTCCTCTAGGAACTCTAGCATTTCAGCGTGCACAAACTCTTTTCAGACTGTTTATATACTTAGAAGTTGTATAACTAAGTTTTTAGGATAAATGTGTCAATTTTCGGATGATAAGATGAATCTATTCTAGCTGCTTTGTGACTTGTTTCTTTTTTGGTTATGAATGCATGTTAACTTTCCTTCCTTCCATTCAGATTATGCAGGACAGTCCTCCATTTGTTTCATCTCCCCAGCAAATCCAGAGAGCTATCTATGTTCATTCTGGGATACGTTAAAATTTATTTAAACTTAGCTATCATGATGCTGGGATTTTTTTTTCCTGAAGTGATTTTTGTCACAGTGAAGTTTGAAGTTTTATTTTAAAGAATTAATTTGTGATTGTCCCGGAACTTTCAGATACTTCCTCCAAATCAATAATCTGTTTTCATTTTGGGGCTTATTACACACATTTTCCCTGTTCCTCAGGGAATAGGTCGAGCACCACGACAGACAGCCAAACATGCAGAACCATATCCAGTGCCCCTTACCCCTCTAAATCACAAAGGGAAGAGGACAGCCATTGCATATGGGGTCTGCAGACTTCGCTGACTGCACCCACACTGAACACAGCTTTTGAAAATCAAATCTGTACCAAATATGGGCAAGCTGCTTTTCCCTGTCACTATTCCGTAAACAATCCAGCCAAGTGCATATTTAAATAGCACCTATAGTAGCTGGAGTGAGGGCTCAACAGTTAAGAGCACATACTGCTCCTTCAGAGAACTGAGTTCAATTCTGAGCACACATGTCAGACGACTCACAGCTGCCTATAACTCTAGCTCTAGGGGGATCTGATGCGACTGGCCTTGACAGGAACCTGGTCTCACATGTGCATGCTACTGGCATATGCACGTACACATAATTAAAAATAAAAAGAATTCTTAAAATAGCATTTATATTATAGTTGTTATTACACGTAGTCCAGAATGACAGGAGGGTGTTTGGATTACAATTAAATACTATGCTATTTTATATATGGAAACTAATTGTCCACAATTTTTGATCCTGAAACCAATCTATCATGAATTCTGAAGGACAATTATAGCTCTGCTTCTTGTCGTAGGATGAAGCTAATTGGGTGCTGTTTATACCTTTGTGGGCAAGGGTGTTCTTATTTTCCCAGTACAGACCAGAACCAGAAACAACTCCCACTAAACAGAAGATTTATCTTCTTTAATCTAAGTCCTCCAAGTTTGGAAGATACAACAAAATAGTAACTAAAGTTCATGGTGGCCCACTGAGTACTGGATACAACACTATTCAGTCACTTCTCAGGACACCCTTATATATCCTGTGTCCTTAAAGAATATTATAAAGCCCAGTCCATTGATGAGGAAGCAGGATTAGACACTTGCCAAAATTCATGGATCCCTGAATATGGCAGAGCTACAACTCAAAACTAATGTTGACTAACCAACTCCAACTAATGGCAATTGATGGTGACTTTGAGACCTTAAAAAACTATAATTAGAATATTAATCATTGCAGTGGTCAAGCTTTTGCAAGAGATGGAATGAGGAGCCCACCTCCACAGGCATGACTACTGGTCTACCTGAAGACTGTAATCCCAGCACTCCACCCAATGGGATTACAGACATACTATGACTGTATTTACCCCAAATCCCAGCTTGGAATAGTCCAAGTTCTGCCTATATTTATGGAATGTTCTAGATGCCTAAATATATTAGCAGGGCATTCCTTGACAGCAATGAAAATATGAAATGTAATATCGATTTTGAATTTCAGGCTTTTATTATTTAACCAAGTCCCTTTTTAAGTAATCATCAAATGAATTTACTAATTATTAACAGCAATTTGATGACCACAAAAGATGAAAACTCTTTATACTTCCCTGAAGCTCAAAATAACAAATGCTTATCCTGTTTATACAACGGGGGAAATGGCCACTTTATAACAATTAGTAGTGATAACTAAGGAAAAGCTTGGCTATTTGAGGAGCTTTTCTCTCTAGAGTGCTCCTCGTGAAGTCATCGCAGTCAACAAGGGCAAAAGAAAAGACAAGTTGTATTGCTGCCAAATTTAATTGTAAATGGACTCAATTCATATACTAATTAACCCAACATTTTAGCCCAATGGAAATAATTTTTCTATTATTATGTGGGACAGGTGGAAGTCTGGCAAGTGTAAGGGTGTCCTGAAGAAAATATTGATGTTTATGAGCATTTGGATGGAATCTCTTTAGTCTAAGATTCAAAGAAGTTCATGGCACAGAGCACAAAGTAATGCAAATTGCTTCAGCACCTTGCCTGGGCCTACTACAAGGCTAAAAGGTCAGGACAATATTAGAACACTTTTTCATCCCTAACATCACATAGACTGCAAAAATGGCATTAAGGCCAAACCCCAATGAAGCAAATGATCATAGCTCGGGGGCCAATTCAGGAAAAATAAGAATTTACTAGGTTGCTTTTTTTCCCATTGAAAATAAAAATAATTTTATTGCATCCCATGAGGAAAATATATATTCTTACAAATTAGATATGTTATCTTAGTGAATATAAGGTCAATGAGAAGCTTGGCTTTTCTTTTTATCTACTAAAATATTAATATCTAGGCACATTTGAGGAGTAGCAGCTTGATGTCCAATTTTAATGTTATGATCACATTGAGCTGCATTTTAATATGTTAAAACGACACTTCTGCCTTTAAGGTGGACCCAATATGTTTTCTTGGTAATTAATATTTGACCTTTATTAAATTAGGAATCCAATGCTTTCATTGGGGAAAACGACAGCAGAAGTGTCATAGTCCCGTCCTCCCCCCCCCCCAGCAGAAGATGGTATTTCTGTCTGTCGGGAGAATCCCATCCTTTGAATCCATGTCCAGCGCTCTCTGAGGGACGGATAGAGTAACTGGAAGGCATAAGCATTTGCAGGAATCCTCCTGCTCCACTGCATCCCCAGATGAGCATAGAATGAAACACGTGAGAAGGAGTGACCTATCTCGGTTGTTCCATCTAGTCTCCTGGTAGGTCCAGTACTTTCAACTCACACAGTAAGCCTGTGTGGCCCAGATGTATAACTTCCCAAAGAAAAGCCTTCCCGAGTCTCTCTTTTAGTCTCATTTTATACTTTTCCACGCTCAAATCAGCTACTTTTTAAAATTCATTTTACATATCAACAACAGTCCCCCTCCCTTCCCTGTTCCTGCTCTCCCCTATCACTATAAACTTACCAACTACTATTTTTTTTACCTTGTTCCCACAAATCTTGCTTTCTTCATGTAGGGAAAACTGTACTTAACTCTCTTCAGGGAAAAAAAAATATATATATATAGTCAGCAATAATGATGTTTTCTTTGTGTTGTAAGTCTGAGTGTTAATTTCAAATGTTAATCTTTATACTATAGCTAAAGATATTAAAGACTTAGTAATCAATGTAAAACTAACTAAAAGGAAAAAGTATTCTATCACTATAACCAACTTTTAAATGATAGGTTTTCAAACTTAAGGATGATTTTAGAGCAGTTAAGAACTTGTAAGACACTACGTACACAGAATGGGGATATTAATTAAAGTATCTCAATAAAACGATAATGATAACTATATCTACCACTTACATAGAGCTCTCTGTGAGCCGCTAACATTTTGTGCTTTTTATTGATTTTAATGCATTTGATATTTACAGTATCCACCTAAGGTAAGTGCCATTAGCGCACATTCCACACAAGAAGAAACCGAGGGAGCAGGACGGCCACACATAGGATTTGAAAATGGTTCCAAGGAAATACAAAGCGTAAGTAAATCAGAAAATAAAAATGTACTTACTATTAAGTTTATAACAGCCAAGTTTATCATTGTAATGTAAAATGTCTTTTACTTTTGCATTTTGTTTGTCTTTAAACAACAGATCCATGAATTTCTGTCTTGGAAAATATATAGAAATAATAAAAATTTTCCTTATTTTCCATATTTTCCTCTCCAGCTCTCCTGCTTAGACCCAGGCCTGTAGCATCCCACTGTGCACTGTGCTTTACCCAAAGTGGAAACTGTCCTTTTCCAGCTTGGCAATTTCATTCATAAAAAGCAAAATCAAATGAAAGCAAGTTGGTTTAATTATTTCAAAGATGCAACTTCTATCAAAAATATAAAGCACAACTCAATATAACACGATTTTTAAAAGAACCCTAAAACTACATTTTACTTATTTCCATGAAAACTAGTCAGAAACCCATGGTATCTGTGGTTTTAATGATGTGGAGGGGGAAATAAATGTGTGGGCACAAAATAGCAAATGAAAATACATTGAATTTTAATTAGTCTAAAAATGGTCAATTTTCCTATTCACTCAGAGATGATAAACTTTCCAAGTTCTATTTTGGAGAGTGACAACTCTTTTCCATGTTCCCTGAACAGTCTCATTTCCCTATCTGATGACTGCCTAGGCACTTTGTGTACTTGGACAAAACAGGGGTGGGGGTAGCAATAGAATGGGGACAGTCCATTCTGAAACTCAAAGGAAACTGGATGTCCTTCAGCCATGCTCGGGCTACTGTCTCATGCAAGTGATTTTGTTTACTATGCCATTTTTCTTGTTTCCTTACCATACTTGCATTTATACTCGTTTCAACTCTTGGACATTTAGCTCTCTTACACATTTCTTGTATTCTCTATTGTAAAATGGGCTTAATTTGAGATTTTCCCCTAGTGTGACAGCTCAATTATAAAATAGTAAAATAAAAACTATTGAAGTAGAACATACCTATTTTACATCAAATTATTCAATTTCCTCAAGAATTAGGAAATTATTGGGTTATTGTTAAGAAATTATTAAGATTCCAATAGTGCAGGAGGGTTCACCTCTCAGTCTTACTCCATCATCAGAAACTGCTCACTTGCAAGAGACATTCTTAAAATGAAAAGGATGTGGTTTCAGACTTAGCCACAAGTGCTGGTGGGTAGGAAGGGGGTTTGGGAGACAAATCACCTTGAGGAGGCTGAACAGGCAGCTGGCAATGCAAACATGGTGGGAGAGAAGTTGGAGGCTTGCATTTCATACATTAAATCGTTCATTAGTGTGATTTCTCCTTCCTGTCACAGGGTTTCTAAGCAGAGATCCAGAACAGATACTGTGTGTTACAATTCAGTTTCAGATATATGTTTGCCAACAATATATGGGCACACATTGTCTCAGTTTGATTGTACAATAGCCTGGAAATGGATATACTTTTTATCTCCAGTTCACAGATACTAGGAAATTTAAAGAAGCCAATAAGAATAAGTTAAAATTAAGAGGTTAATTCTCATCATTAGTAATGTGCCAGTGCAGTTTTGACTGATATAAGTGCTTACTACAACAGTTCTTGGAAGAATTATACTGTATTCACGCAGTAGGCACAAGTGGTCTCACTTTTCCCAATTAAGGTCAGACAGTTATAAAGATTTCAGATGAGAAGAAAGATCATATAACTAAAAGCAGAGGCAGGATCTGAACCCAGACTCAACACATCATACTATAGTCTGAATCCCTACCCTGCACTCCTAGTAAAAACCAGAGCTTATATGCTTGATCATATCTACTTGGTGCTGAGTCTGTGGCTATTCAGGGTCCCATGTGGCTTTTAATTGAAAATAGTTGTTCTCAAATGTGGTGTTTAACCCCTGGCAGAATTTCCCTGTCTGGAAGAAAATGAGAAGAAGTTCAAAGACAACGTCAAGAACTTCCCTAACTACTAAAGCCTTTCCCTACAAAGGACTCCCCTTTGTTCTGCGAACATAAACTTGCTTTTGCAGAGCAATAATGTGCCTTTTTAATCTAATGAGTTTCGGAATGGCTGATAATTATTTTAAACATACTAATTAAAAATTTGTCAGTCCTATTCCCTCTGCCTCATACTTGGGACAATTGGAGAGAATGGCATAACTCATATACTATAAGATTCTTACCTCTAAAAAAAAGTAGAAAACATGTAAGAATGAAAAGAGTTATCAAAATATATTTCACAGGTTTCCCTAAGACTTAAGCTTTATGCTTAAAGTTCATATACTTTCTGGTTTTGAAAGGCAGTTAAGGGAACCAGTATATAGCTGGAAAAGAATGACACTATCCATGTCCAATAGACTGTCATAGAATATACATATACAAAACACCTGAACTCCAGCTGAGTACTATACATACAGCCATGCAGTGTCTCACACTCTCCTTTGATAAGCACTTACCACTGTGGAAAGAAGCGCTACTCCAGTAGCCATGGTGGTGTCATCTTGAGAATACATAATGATAATTATACATATACATACATATGTATATACACACACATATAGCTTGTCAGCAGTGTTTGGCCTTTCTTACGCACAGATTTCTGAATATTTGATCTGTGTGTGTGTGTGTTTGTGTGTGCGCATGAATGCGTGCATGTATGTGTGTGTGTTTTTCTTTTCTATTGTGGTAGATATCAAACCTAGAGATAAATAACATATCAGAATAGCACCCCTTATATATTCTTGTTATTATTTTGATCCTCATCTTACAATTAAGAAATGTATAGTTCAGATTAAAAGGTGAGCTGAAACACCTCATCTAGTTAGGTGAGGGAGTAAAGTCTTTACTCTTTTAGGTCATATTCCAATTCTCTTAATCATCTTCTCACAGTTCTGCAGGCATCACAACCTTTGTTTCCACGGTAGCCCTGTCACAGTCCTGCTGATGTTGATCTCAGATTCACATGGTTTGAGTTTGCCTCCAGCATTCTGAAAATGTACACCTTATATGTCCTTGTACATATGGGCCAACCATGAGAGCTTTTCAGTAGAAAAACAGAAGAAATCTAAAATGACTAATTGTACATATCAGAATAGTCAGGGGAGCTTTAAAGCAGACTCACAAAAATTGTACGAGCTCATCAGATGACATAAGGAAGACTCTTCCGTGCATAAAGAACGTTGTAGCTGGAGGGCATAGCTTTAGTGAGAAAATAGAACTCAAACGTGAACAATGGCTTGGTATCTGTAAAAGAAGGTTCAGTGGATGCCCAGGGCAAACCGGATACGTTTGCCTAAAGTGCAGATCCTAAGTTTTCTCATGAATCTTTGGTTTGTCGTTAAGTTACCTATACCGTGACCTGATATATCAGGAGTACAGCACCATTTTAATTGTTGATAGGAGGTTTAAAAAGTTGCATACACTCCTTAAGTCAAACACACTTTTTTCCACCCTAGTACTAAAGAATACAAGGCTTCTGTCTTTTTAATAAGAAAGCAGAAGTGTGCTGTAGCTCAGTCCTCAGAAGAAACAAATGAGGAAGGAAACCAATTCCTTTTCCTTTCTTCCATGGGGCTTGTTTTTCTCGTAATGTAGCAGTCTAGTTCTTGTTCAAGTTCTTTGGACATCTGGGACTTAAATAGTGACTTCTAATATATTCAAATACAGATTCATATAGAGTATACACTTTGTTGTGAGAATGAGTATCTTAAGCTTAAATTTTTCAGCATATAAATTATGTTTCATACCTTCTTGTGATTTGAATGCAAAATGCAGCAAAGAAATTGTCACATGGTGTGTCAACCACCAGATAGGGATAATAGCAAGACTGGGTCCCCAGGGACTGTCAGCATTATACTAGAGAAAGACACCAGTGTGAAGTGTGAACCAGGCAAAAGGAGAGAACTTGAAAATTTTCAGCCATTATACTAATTTATGAAAATGGCTTTGAAATATTTATGCTAAAAGACAAAAATATTTCTTCAAAGATTAACTTTGTTCCATTTAAAGTAGTGAGTAGCCATTTTCAAATGCTTTTTCAAGTGCCTGGGTACTTTGCCAATACCTCCCCCCAGCACTAAAACATGAAATAGAGGAGACATTATGGCCTCTGTCTTTGTGACTACAGGTCCATTGCAGAGGGTGGAAACAATGTGGATCAGATAATAGTTTATATTTTTAATATAAATCCTTTTGCTAAACCACAAAAGGGCAAAGGCCTTAGCCTGTCTACCAAAAGACTGTGGAAGACACTTCCTGATAGACATCTGAAAAAATGGACGCAGCCCAGTTGCTGGAAGGGACTGGTGAGCAGATGACTTAGTCTTTAGCAGATGGGGTGGGAATAGAAGAGATTGTCTCATCAGCATCCAATAATTAGGACATTATTCACTTTGGTCCTGGTAAAAGATTCTATGGAAACTTGCCTAACTTTCACTAAATTTTAAAGTTTTAATTTGTTAACAGTCTTGCAATGCTTTCAACAACTTCCTTTTTATCCTTTTTACGTGGAGGTTGATGCTTCAGGCAAAGATTTTAATACACATCTGATGTTTTAACCTCCCAAATAATCTCAAACTACCGATCTCCTCATTGCACCAGAGAAGCAGTTCTAAATCTTAAATCCAGAATAGCATCACATGAAGAGTTTGTCAAATATCAGAATGGGAGCCCCGTTCCCAGGGTATCTGATCTTGGCTAAGGTCGGCTGATAACCACAGTTTTAATATCTGGTATGTTACTATGTCTTCTCAGTGTTCCTGGTCAAGCTATGACATTCACAAATAACCCCCAGGCGTGTGTGTGTTTCAACCTGAATTTCTCCCTGCCTTCCAATAGCTCTAGAGATTTCAGGTTGACTGCTAGACCCACTTCTCCAGGCCCAGTTTTTCCTTTGACAGTGAGAAGGTCAGCAAAATACTGATATAATGTAGTTGCCTCTGAAGGAAGCCTGCCTGGGGTAGGTTGCTTTGTCATTACTCAAGCTTCTAGCATTTCCTTTTCTTCCAGAATTTCCATTCCTTCTTTTCCATGTG